TGGCGTAACCTTAAACTTCGCACTGTTTGGTTGAAGGTGAACTTGGATGTTTTCGTTGCGTTGAAACACGTTTTGGTTCGGGTTGGTAGTGATGCACCCATGATTCGTCCCCAGTAAAAATCCTGTTAAGCAGACGAATAGTTTCTCATTCATCTGCATACCGTAAGAGATGTTGCAAGGACAGACCCATTCGGTTCATTTTTTCTTGAACCTTCAGTTCTCTGGGCACCCAACATGCGCACACTTTCCGAAACGTCAAATGATCATGCATTATGCTGTATGCTAAATCATGGGAACACCCTAGTGCGGTTGCTACGCTGTCTATCGTTATTCTGCTGTCACCTCGAATCAACTCTTTCACCTGTTGCATCTCAACAGGGCGATATGGTCGGGCATCATCTGCGAATTTCGAACGTTCTTGAGAGAATTTCTAGACCCTATTATGAGCCGCTTTACATGACAAACATCTTTGACAATAAACGGGAAACATTTCTTTATGAATATCATTTTCATTGAGTCCTTTTGCCCACAGAAAATACACGACAGGACGCTTCTCTCCGGCAATAAACTCCTCAAGCATGGTCGCCATTTTGACTACTGAAACGAGCCTCTGAACATGGGCATACACGTGTGCTACCTCGAGAGTCATGAAGCTGGACTGTGCTGCTACCTAGTGATACATATAGGAAAACTCTTACGTCTATTATAGCTGTTTTACTCCAATTTGTGACTCATTTCCTGACTCTGCCTCGTTATTTTTTTCCTCTCTCACTCTGCAGTGTATTCCGAGATAGTGCATCATAGCGAATTCACCCTGTCCTGGTGTTTCACCATTCATACTCTTCTTAATATTGTTGCTATTTATATGCATATTGTAGAATGTGTGGGACAAAACACTGAGAATAAAGAAGAAATTGTAAGTGCATGGAAAAAATTAGATGAAGTTGGGGCACTGTTCTATCTTAGTCTAACAAAGATATTTAAAATCACACGTAAGTATATAATGTTACAAGCCGGAAGGTCGCGGATTCAAGTCTCGATGAGGTCCTTGGCTTTTTTTAAATTGACCTAATCCTTCCGGCGGCACTATGGCCCTGGGGTCGACTCATTCTCTAACAGAAATCAGTACCAGGAATTAATTAATTTTCCTGGGGAGTAAAGCGCGGCCTGCGCGTAAGGCTGACAAACCTACCGCCATCTTTAAGCAGATTGTCTAAATAATGTGGGACCTTCAACGTCTCACAACCCTATGGATAGCTTTACCTTTTTACACATAGAACTTCAGCATAACAGGATGTTGACATCAAGCAAATGACCATAATAGGACCAGCTATTGTGTGAGTGGTGACTGGCCAATTAGGTCACCTGGGGCAGTGCATCATCTTAAACATGGACTGAAGAACTATGGTACTTCAGCTATGTTGACAGTATACTCGTACGAGTATACACTCATACAAATGGGCGAATACAATGTGTATGTGATGTGTGATGAGTCATTCTCAGAACATGTTTCTAATTCCAATTTCCAATGTCCCAAAATTCGATAAAGGAGGTGCTTTCGGATGGAGCTTTGTCGTTATGCTATCTTGTCAATGAAATGTGCCCTGGTTGAGGAGATATTTTGAAGCAGCGGAGAGTGGAAAGGTGAGGAAGTGGGATCTGTAGAGAAAGCTTGCGAGACAGGACAATTTTCGCCATGACCACACCCCAGTTTATATTGGTGGGGTGAATTGCCAGACGACAGAGAGAAATCTTCACCCCTCTCCTGTTGCTGATAACCAGTTGTAATAGGATAATGCATTCCTCGTCATTCTGTTTGAAGTGTTCTAATTTTGTGCCATCGTAAATGTGAAAGCACATAAATGTACATGGATTTCTCTTTCAATGGTTTTTTTTATTGCTAGTGGGGTGGGACTAAGTCCCATGTACTGTGGCCACTTCTGGCCTATTGTACCAGCCCCAGATGATAGGTGAGGGTGATTGTGGAGCAATTGGTGAAATGAAGATTGGCAGGGGAAACCGAAGTACTGGGAGAAAACCTGCCCCAGCGACACTTTGTCCACCACAAATCCCACTTGACCAGACCCGGGATCGAACCCGGGCCGCCGCGATGGGAAGCCAGTGACTAACCGCTTGAGCTATGGCGCGGCCTCTTTCAATTGATACTTTGCAGTATTTCGCATTAATAACGAGTAGGCATAGAAGCACAATACCGATTAAAAATTACTTTTAAGTGAGGAGCGTGGAATGTAAGGGTAAATTTGCCCCTGAGCTTAAATGATTAAGAATTACACCATGAAGACTTGTGGTAGAGTGGAATTATAGACCCACGTATTCTTGAACTTAGCACTATATGGGGGTTAGCGTGTTAACTGGACTCTTGCGCGCATGCGAAATACAGAAGGGTAAACGACGTTAGAAAATTGTCAAAGATATTCTTCACTTTGATGACTCTAGAAGAAACACTAAAATGAAATACATTTGCACCAAATAGCCCGAACATAAGAAAACACAATCTTAATGGTAAAGATTTAGGTAAGCACATGAACCAATATTCTAATCAAAGAGCCTGAACATATAGAAAACATACTCCAAACGGTAAAGATTTACTGTATTTACGCATGTATAGGCCGCACATTTTTTGCCAAAAATTCAAGAGGAAAACTGGGGTGCGGCTTATATTCGAAATATTCGAAATCACACTTCATTTAAAAAAAATTATATTCATAATTAGTAATACAGGGTGTTCTACTCCTGAAATAATATTCCAAGAAAATTATTTTTTCTATAATTTCTGTCTGAAAATTGTGCTGCGGCCTATACATGCACGCGGCCTATACATGCGTAAATACGGTAGGTAAGCACATTAACCAACATTCTAACAAGGAATGTTACTCCTGGGCTACTTGGTTATATTGTTGCCTTGCATGGGCGTCACAAGAATTTTTATATGAGGGAGGGGCAGTCATTCTTCCAGAGAGGAGAAACAAGAAAAATTAGCAAACTAAATTCCATTTAAGACGTTTAATACTATATTTTCACTATTATTTAAAATATTTTTTGACGTCACAATCATGATTAGCCTACGGGCTGAAAACCTAGGAATCATGGTTCGTTTCTGGCCAGGGAAAGAGAACTTTCTCTTTGCTGCAGCACATCCAGATTTCCTCAAGGGGCCACCAAACCCCCCCCCATCCAAATGGTAACTGGGATCCTTCCTGGGGGAAGGCGGAAACAGCAGTCATATTAGATGGATGTAGGCCATCGCCTATATATCATTTTAAAGAAAGTATAACATTCAAATTAAGAAATTACAGTAAAGCTTGACATATGTATGGAATTCAAAACTGGGCATATGGATTGAATCTGCTTTCAGAACCTTTACAACATACTTGCATATCACTTAACAACTGTCACCACCTTCATATCGGCAAGAGAATGGTATACAGCTTGTAAGTAACTGGGTGTTCCCTGGTGGGTTTGTGAAGAAATCAGGAAAGTTGTGAATTGTTTCATTTTTGGTCCGTTACACTATCAATCACAAAGTTAATAGAAAGTCCGTCGAGTGTAACAATTTGTAGGTCACTTCTTTATCACTTCTGCCTTACATGTTTCGGTTTGACACAACCATCATCAGAGGCACTTACTACAATTATGAAAACACTGTCGTTGTTTATGATGTTCACAGTTATGTTTGTTGTGTGGACGCTGCTACAATATGTTGACGTGTAAAAGCACAACACTTGCTAGGATAGTTGAGTACACTATCAATTCTCACTTTCCATCTGAAACTGTTTTTAAGTTAAAACGCTAATGTTAAAATATTTTAACATTAGCGTTTTAACTTAAAAACAGTTTCGGATGGAAAGTGAGAATTGATAGTGTACTCAACTATCCTAGAAAGTGTTGTGCTTTTACACGTCAACATATTGTAGCAGCGTCCACACAACAAACATAACTGTGAACATCATAAACGACAGTGTTTTCATAATTGTAGTAAGTGCCTCTGATGATGGTTGTGTCAAAACGAAACATGTAAGGCAGAAGTGATAAAGAAGTGACCTACAAATTGTTACACTCGACGGACTTTCTATTAACTCAGGAAAGTTGTATTTTGTACATATGTAAAAGTTAAAAAAATTAAAAAAAGATAAAACTATAACTGTAATAGGCTGGAGGCCCATGAAAAAAAAATAATTCTCACATACCAGACAGACCAGTCCTCTCATCAGAGAGGGCGCCCCTCAAAAACAATACTGTAAATGTCAAACATTAATAAATATCTGGTCATGAGCCCCAGATGGGGCTCGACACCAAGACTTACTTACTGACTGACCATCAGTCACAATGTGACTTTGACTTTGACTTGTATTTGGGAAGCATAACAGATATCACTAATTTTGTACACTGATTACACACTACACAAGATAGTGTCCATATTTGTACTTTCTTCATGTTAATGCATCATAGAAAAGTATTTCTTCACATCCACTTGTAAGAATACAAAATAATTTTTCAAAGCCATAAGTTAACTTGGTTCCAGTAGCATTGACAATGGTATAGCGTATAGTATCACATAGTATTATTGGGTTCCTGGACTTTGTCCATCTTTTAGTTTTCCGAACAGAACACAGTGCTTCAGAATTTGGATTTGTTTATATTAATCTCCCATCTACACCTCAGTCTACCAAGTACATTTAGTTCTTCTAACTTTCCAATTAAATCCCTGCATGAACCTCGTATCTCTTGCATCCATGCTACACCCTCTCTGGATCTCATTCTTTTGGATCTGAAAGAGGTTCCATTCTTAATTTCAATTAGTACTCTGAGTTGTTTCAATGATCTGAGCAAAACGGTATATATTTCAGCCCCAAAACCTTATAATTGTTAAATGATCATCTCAAATGAGGCAGGAGTGATAATTAATTAATATCTCACATTGTGTAGTTCATGTTTTTGTTGGAGTTAAATTTTACCCTGTTTAAATTAATATGTTACAGATTGAGGGGATGGCAGCTAGTGCTACATCAAAGGCATCAAATCCTTCAGAAGATACATGTGACATGAAGCGGAGGCAAGCACGGCCATTAACTGGGAAACATGTGAGACCAGGAACAGGAGCCAGTCCTGCCACACTACTTTCTCTGCGGCGCAAGATACAAGCACGCCAACAACAGCATGATGGCCAGCAACTGCACAAGTAGCATATGACACCAATTGGGATATTTGTGAACGAATATGGTGTGCAGAGGTCTTTATTACCGAATGTAGTCATTTCTGCATTAAGTATTAACCTAAATGCACAAATTCAAACATGTTGTTCAGAAACCGACAGAGATGTTATCTTTCTAGTATCATAAAATGCAACTATTTTATTTTCTAAGGCGTTTTGCGCAATGGATGGCATATTAAAATAAATTCCCTGATTCCAATTTCTGTTGTGTGATACTTTGCATTTTAAAATGTGCTTGTTTTTCTTCTCAGCCACATATGAGATACATTTCAATAAACTGTAGTAATTCAAATTTTAAAGGTGACAGAATTCAAGACATCTGTGGCCATTACCAACATTTCATTTACTTGATTATTTAAAGAGTCTTCCAAACATGCAGGTTAATGACCATGTGTTCAGTACTGGTGCCTGTGATCTTTGGTACAAATGATGTGAATTTTTACATATTTTAATAAAATAATTATTACAATTATTTGATAGCATACATGAAATATTTAATATGTCAAATATTTATTATTTTTATACTACTCAGTTTAATATAGTTTTAATTTTGTAAGCAATGTCACTTGGCACAACCATGTTAGTAAGTATACCTTGAACTTTGTAACTTTGAGGTGTATGCTCTAGGGCAATGAACCTTCCAGAGGAGGGGAGACTTGAGAATACTATTTGGCTCATAAAACTATTTCAACAGTGGTATGAATATAACATTATGAAGCACCAATAGATGTAGTAGAGTATGGAGGGGTGAAAATCCTCATCATATACCAAAGCTTCTCTAATACTAAAAGTAGTTCTTCATAATAAAAATTTGTAACTTTGATTCTTTAAATTCTTGCTAGCTTAAGAGATGAAATTACTAGGTACTGATATTAAATTAAAGATTTAATTAAATGTAAGTTCATTTTACCTAATCTTTCAAAACAAGAGCACAGCAAACTGAAAGGAACCCAAAAATTGTATTTAGTCTTAAGACATTTAAATATACTGTGTTAAAATCTAAGGGTATGAAGCAGAAAATTAAATTTGAGGTTAATTATACTCGGTGAATTAAGTAATATGGAGAAGAGCCTGCTGTCTCTACCTAGCACCTGAAGTTCTTGCAAAAGCAATTATACATATATCATAATGTAGACAGTCCCATAACCTACATTCAAATTAGTATGAGTCAGAAGCATTGGTGCTGTGCTAAACCAGCTCAGTGAAAGGATCTTGAACGTTAGGTGAAAAGCATTGGAATATAAGTAACGATTTAATTATGACAGTACAGTGTTTTAAGATATTTCATATTATAAACAAAAACGTGCATTTCAAGCACTAAATTGTAGCCATCCAGTAACGGGATTTTTCAGTTATATGTAGATGCTCTTTTCCCAAGCCTGGAGATCCACTATGAAATCGTATTCAGTATATTAATCTACACAGAGTATGAATGTTGGATTGTATTGCATAAAGTATATTATAATTCAGAAGTATCTAGGTCATAATGTTTCAGTTATACAGTAGCTGCATTTAGGTAAAGAAATAACGATTTTCATGAAAGTCAATAATCCCTTGACAAAAGAGAGCATGAGTTTACTAAAATAAATTTCCATATTGTGTTAAAGTTCACTTGACACATTTTTGTCAAATTTAATTCTGTTTTCTATATATATGTTGCTGTTAGGAAACGTGTACTTCAATTACATGCAGTAGCAACTGATGACATTGTCAAGCATAGAGTTCAGATTGGTTACCGTGTATGGTGTTACAGTTTTTATGACACCCTTCTTAGGGCTAACATACAGATCAGAACATCACTCAATCTCAGACCACCACCACCACCTCCACTGCTATTGCTTCCTACCCATTTTCAAATAATTCTACAGAATGTTCTGGATGGAAAATACAGTAGAATCATCTCAGAGCTTCCCACAAATTGATCAGCTGCTTCACATATATAGTCATGCTGCAGAAATTACACTGTAAGCAGAATTGTTAGGCCTGTAGCCTAACAAATTACAAATAACTCTTACTGACTAAAGCAGATGCTGAATGAAGTCAGCAATAAGCTTTAACATTCCCCTCAAATATCCCTGATATATCTTGGACAGGTGACCATGGTTTCAAGTTTCAAGTTTAATCTATAAAAAGAAAGGAACTTCAATGCGTGAATGTAAATTTTTACGGAGATTCCAGGAATTCATGTATAATAACAAAGAACCCTTAATGCATCTGTTGTGATCTGAGTGAGTTTTGTTTGTAGTACGATAAGCTACAGGCTTGACAATTCTACTAGGAGTCTGAATCTTTGTGATGCTACTGCACTGTGTTCAGTCAAGGAGGAAACTTTGTAACACTGCTGACTGGGCAGTCAGGATCTTTAGCCTGAGTGGCTCAAGGATTTGTAAGATGATCACACTGTATGGTGCACATCAACAAGTTGGCACAGTGAACAAAGAGAATGGCTGGAACCTGAAAGTGAACTCTATATATGAGTTGTGTGTTACTTGCTGCACTGTCCCATTATGAGTATCAGCACTGGATGAATGTCAAATTTGAAATGAGGATGAACTGGCATGTTTCCCTTATATTATTTTCCTTGATGTTTTGTGTTTGAATTCCAGCATCGATACATTGTTCAACTTCAACCCCTCACACCATCAGTATGTACTGTAAAAAATTATCTTTTTTGTATGATTTGAAGTTTTTACATACAATGAATATGCTGAAATCTTCTCAGGTGATTCATCGTGTCAATGTTACATTAGAAACTAACATCAACCTTGATGATGGAAAAGGAAGAGATCTCTAATATATTCATTTATAACTCAACATGGACACAGCTGATTGCCCAAGATGATTTTAGCACTTCATTCTTCTCTCTGTCACTAACATCTTATCTTTTAAGATATGGGCCTACACAGTATCTGTTTCATCCAAAACAGTGCCTTATGTCAACATTCATATTAAGATATACATTTATTATTATTTGCTGCTGAACAGATATGGTAGGTTAATTCTGGTGCATTTGCTTTGGAATTCACTCAAATATGTTCCAGCTTGATAGGATGATAAAAACACTAAAAGTTAATGGAGCTACAAGATGAAACAAATAGAATTCTTTTCACTGGTCTCTCAAATGATGAGTTCATTCACTATTGCTCTCTAACATAAAATCCCTAAGCTACAAAGGAAAGCAGGAATTTTGTGAAAGATAAGTTAGAACTGATGAAATAAAAGAGGATTTATGTAATAACTGCAGATACTTTTAGCACGATATATGGAAGATAAGCCCTCATAATCTATATGAAACAAAAAATGAAAAGAAAACAAAACAAGAGATAAGTTTTATTTTAAACAATCACACATAGCAGCTAGAAATTAAAGTAATATATATGAATTGTGAAAATATAGGAAACTCTTGTTGTAACAAATGTGTGAGGACATCAGAATTTTTATTTATTTTAAAGTGTATTGTAACGAAAAGGGCTTGTTTAGCTGTTTAATCAGTATTAGTGGAAGCAAATTATACTGTATAAAAGCCAATGTTTTATTTATATTCATAAAAAGGTCCCTAATTGAAAGAATAAATCAGTCTCTATTTCAAAGGCACCAAATATATTCAGATTCCCAGAAGTAAAACGGAAACCTTGTCAGAAATATTCCGCCATTCTGCATGCGGATGTTTATGGTAGCCAGCTGGAACATCAGTTGATTTTTAGCAGGCTACATGGTGATGTATCTCAGAAGATAGAATTCCTATACATAAATGAAGTAAATATTGAACATTATGTCATCATGAAGGACATTACTAACTTTTCTGTGTGTGTGTGTGTGTGTGTGTTTGTGTGTTTGTGTATGTAGGGGCAAGGGGAGATTGTGGGTGAGCACACACATGCACACAGACAAAGGCTGAATGTGTCGAAGTCTTTTGAGTACAGAAGTGGTGCATTTTTCATAACTGTGTTTCATAGTAAATATCAGTATAAAGAACACACTTTAAAGAGTAATTACATGTGTCTAGTTTGTAGTTCTCCCTCACCCCCTATTAACTGTGGATCAAGTAATCAAGTGTATTGAATCAGTGTTAAATTGTTGTGTATTCTGGGACAATTATACCAAAGAGGTGTTGAACAGTATGAATATGCATTTTTAATACTAAAAGAAAAAAGAAATTATTCTGTAACTAGAATAACTGGACAACTGGAAAATTTGGATTTGTTTTCAGCAGAGGCAAAGAATTTTTCTTTTTCTGTATTGTATCCTGATTGGGTTTGGGGTCCATCCACCCTCTTATCAAACAAGTACCAGAGGTCATTCCCTGGGAGTAAAGCTATCAGGGCATAAAGCTGACTACTCACCTTCATTTAGTGCCAAGGTAAAGAATATGTGGAGCTATATCTCCACACCTGCCATTTATTCATGGTGTGATGGTCAATTAAGCACAGGGATAACTTTAATGTATGTTATTGCCCACAAAACAGCCTAAGACATTTGTCTATAAAAAGAATGATAGTATATTAACTAGCCTTACAGCTGTAACCACAACAGTGAGGTATGCTTTTATGAAGCTTTTGTGGTAAGATATTTTGTACAAGAATAGTCTTTTAGATATTACTGAAATTATGATTTCAATTAAAATTTGAAATTTTTGTCATGAATTATTTTGTTACTGTTTTAACCCTTGTGCCATAATGGAAGAATATAAATTTGATCACAGATAAAATTTAAGTACATATTTTTATATTTTAAAGAAAATATATAATAATATTACTGTACTTTATTTGGTAACAGATGGTGAAAGAAATTTGATGTAATGAGTAAGTATCACTTTGCAGAAACTGGGTTTGTATTTGTGTTCTGAATTAACCATTTAATTAATAATGAAATTAATTTTGTCATAAACTGAAGTACTATCCAGATCTGGTCCTATACGCATTTGAACATATTTAATGTTAACCAACTTGAAATAAATCTACCGGTTAAAATTAAATTTTTGCACAGGCCTATTTCATTATATTCTATCTTGTATTAGAAGTGTGTTATGGATTCCTGGTGAAATTGAATGTATGTTTGTAATTCTGTACTTTTTTAAATATATGCACTCTTTTTAAATTTCTTGGTCTCTCCTCAGTATGTAAGATATCTGTTCATTTATTTCTGAAAAAAAAAACTGAATTTAAAGAAGGCAAATATTTCAGTCACAGAAATTAATTTAACATTATAAATATTTTCTTCTAGGTTCCCAAACCTTTAACAGTAGTCATGCCACCTTTATATGCTTTGAGTGTTATTTTATTATTCTATTCTAGGGGGATGTGGGCTATTTAATGATGATGCATGAACTGCAGAAGAAATTTAAAATGACAAGATCGAAGGATGATACTCAGCAGGTTGTAGCAATACTACTCTACACTTCTATATTAGGGTACAAGGTTCAGATCTTGGCTCCATTACCACCTAATCTAACTGATATGACTCTTCATTTTCAACATTCTCTGTAGAAAAATGCCAGAACAGGATGTTCAAAAGCCTAAAACATCCTTTAAATTACTGTCTACTCGCCATTCATGATCATTTTCCTGTACAGCTGAAGAGGTAATCAGAAAATAGCATAAGAAAATTTCAGAAGATGATCATGTATAATCAATATGAAAGAATAGGGGATTAAGTATCGGCCTATTTTATGCTATCCTGCCATTTTTCTGGAATCACTGATGAAAACAGAAAACACTGTGAAAAGTTCTCTGTGATACAACCTCATGTAGTCTGCTGAAATCCAACCAACTACACAACATTATATCCCAGAAGACAAACTCTTCACAGCCACCTCCATGAGAATCTCAGCTCCTACAGAAATTTCTCTGTTAGGATAGCCAATACATTGGGCAAGACTAAAATTCTATACCTCACAAATACTGGTCACACATATTTCTGCTTGGGCTCATATATTTGGTTATATTATAACTGCATCAGACATTATTTGTAATTTGTCGCAGTGTGATTTATAGAATTTTGGGTAGGGATGAAGTCATGCTAGATAACTAGTTTCCACCTGCATCATGCTTCTAGGGAGCATTTACCCTCTGATATTGCTAATCAAACGGTTACTAAATACAGAAAATTTAAAAGGGGAAAATATAGTAAGTAAATATAGTGATAAAATTCCTCTCTCACAGTCATAATATTGTCACGTGTTGGATAACTTCAGGCCGTATTGGACATAGCGAATGTATTGAACACTCGCTCTCACAATTACACAATTCACAATTTAACGACTACTGCCATCTGCAGTATCACACTACTTCTCCTGTAGTCACTGACATGTGCTCGATACAACCTGACTCGGCGACTGCTACAATTAAACTGACTGGTTAATTGTTACTCACTAGTAACTCACTCACTCATTACTGGCTCAATCCTCACTACTGAATAGTGTTCGCTGCTCCTTATTTAGCCTTGGCATGGACAACACAGAAAACAGTTGTGTGATAAGTACCGCTGTTGCATGATGCCGTGTTTACAGGTTGCCTAGCAACACTGTCGAGAGTTGTTTACTGCTGTGTGGTAACCGTGGTATCCCTTGTTATGTCGCTGTGGGATGTGCTGTTATGTCACCACGGCAATGGTTGCCTGACACAGTTGCTCCTCTGTTATGTCACCGCAGGGGAGGAGGTGTTTACTGAGCGTTGTGCACTGATGGAAGGAGTGGGGGTATGTGATGTCACTCGCGAGACCACAGAGCTCACGTGACCCCTACTTCCTGTTACGCCATCCACGTCACAATATTATATATTTTTCTTCATGTGGTGAAAGGCTTTATGAACTAGTAATTTAATTGTAAGTTAATAAATATACCACACATCTGTAGTGGAATAAGTATTAGTTAACAATATGCTACAAAATAACAGTTCAATAAAATGATTTAAACCATCAAAAATATGGCAATGTTATCCTGGAACTCTGCAGTATGATGAGAATATGAGTGACACGAAAATATAACACACATTCTTTCACAGTTACTACCCCTAGATTTCATAAATTCCACTTTGCAGCTTCATTAAACAAGTATCTTAACCAAATACATAAGCCCTAGCAGAAAAATGTGCAACTAGTATTTGTGAGGCATGCAGTTTTAATGTTGCCCACTGTACTGGCTATCATGAGTGGGGAATTTCTGTGGCATTTGCGATTTTCAGAAGCAGTCATGATGAATGGTTCTCTCTTCTGGGTTAGAACACCATGGAGTTGGTTATGCAATTTCATACTCTCTTCCAGCCCATGGCCCCCACACCACTCCCCACTTCATTTTTACCACCTGACCACACAAAACATACCCACTAGACAAACAACCTCTACCTGTAAGATTTGAGGTTTCATTGTGGTGACTATGAAGAAAGCAGTCTTCTGGGATGTAGAGCCATGTAGATATTGTGTTAACCGACGTTTCGGAGGAACGTAACGCCTCCATCTTCAGGGTAGAAGAAAAAATAAAAGGAAATCAGCTAGCGAGGAAACAGCGCGAACAGGTGCTCACAGGCTCAACTCGACATTAGTCTGTAAGCACCTGGTTCACACTGGTTCCTCGCTCGGGTATTTTCTTCTTTTTTCTTGTGCCCTGAAGATGGAGGCGATACGTTCCTCCAAAACGTTGGTTAACACAATATCTACATGGCGCCACATCCCAGAAGACTGCTTTCTTCAACCTCTACCTGCTTCCATTCACTTCAGTCACTCTCTAACAATCAACCACTAGACTTAATCACTGATATCACATATGACAAATAAACATACAGTTATGTAACCAATAGTATATATTGAAGAGGTAAATCATATTCATAAAATATCATCAAAACTGCATCATATCTACACATTCAGTAAAAGTTTAATTATGTATGCAAAAAGAACTAAACCTTATATAAAAATAAAACACCCTAAAAACACATACAAATATATATATATAGCTCGGCTAACTTCGGCTCCGCTCGTGACGTCACCGCGGGGAGAGTGGCGGGGTGATGCCTCGCCTATTACGCGAGCGCTATGTTACCACCACGCGCCGCTGGGGAGGTAGGGGTCAACATGTCACAATATATATATATATGTAGAAATAACAAATACCAAATAATAAATAAAATCTCACAATTTATTTACAGTATAAATTCACATACCTGCTACTATTTCACACCTTCAATGCATAAAGCTACAACTGAATAGTCAATACACATCCCTAGAAAACAGAAGTAACCACCCATACCATATCATGTAATTACAACACATGTTACATATAAATACACATGTTTGTTTCTATTTTCAGATACAGACATCAAAGAAAATACAATTAATTTTTTATGGGGGTCATTCCAAGTGTAATTTATTTTGTTTTATTAATCAATTTTATTCAGCTACCACATTATAAGAATGTCAAAACCACACACCCAATATATATAAATTTAATAATATAGACTTAATATATTATTTGTGATGTTCACTAGTAGGATACATTTTAGTCAAGTAATTAAGTGACAACAATTACGCATTTATTGTAACCACCTGACGATGATCAAACCAATCAAAACATGTAGTGGTGTAGAAAATAAAATCGCATTAACACGTTAATACTGGTTTTACTTACTGAAAAGAATATTGTGTTGACGGTCACATTAAACCCCTTTTTCTTTCAAGTGCCAAGATATAGTGTGAAAATTAATATTTTCGTTATTTCTTTGTTTTTTCTGGATTTGTCCGAAAATATTCATATACAATGAAGAGTTTGCACCATATGATTGACTAATCAGTAGTATGCGCCATTATCAGGCTTACTTTACTTTGATTTGTTTCATTCTGGTCCGTCACACTAAATTATAAATACAAACCACTCTGTCCAATGTGATATATAAGTTTTTACTACTTTAAAACTTATCTCCCTTACATGTTTCAGTCCTTACGGGCCATCTTCAGAGGGAACATCATTACAAACTGGAAACTACCATCACAATAGGTGTTTTGATTTAAAATACATACACTTACATCCTATAATGCACAGTACGCATAAAGTCGAATGTTTCACAATCACAGCAGCTTCCTGGTGTTGTAAAGTTTTTAAAAGATTCTAGATGTTATTTAAAAAACCTTTATTGTCAATAGTTAAATTTTTTAAACCATGTAGGTTCGTGTCTGTACTCCTATCGTCCTTCTTGTATGGGGCAGATTTTGTGCCACCTGTCTATCTTGATGAGGAGGTTCTTGATGTCGTCCAGGGTTTGTTCGTGGCTTGCTGTGTTGTTTTCACAGCATGTGTATGAATTTTAAATCAAAACACCTATTGTGATGGCAGTTTCCGGTTTGTAATGATGTTCCCTCTGAAGATGGCCCGTAAGGACCAAAACATGTAAGGGAGATAAGTTTTAATGAAGTAAAAACTTATATGTCACATTGGACGGAGTGGTTTGTATTTACTTTACTTTGTTTTGTTAATGGCTGTACTATTTCACAGATTCATTATACAGCTGTTGTAATACCTATTAATGAATTATTTTACATCAGTGGCTACTCCATTCAGGAAGGTAAGGTAGTATTCCTATGAATTGGGACCACATATGCATATAAAATTTAGAATGAAGATGAAGGAATAACTGACAATCACACATTTGTAACACATTCCCTTCCAACAAACATTACTCTCCCAACAGATGTGCATGTGTGGAACTGTGTGCAATTATCAAGAATATGCCATAAAGATATCCAGTACATATACTACAAGATGAACACTTTGAATGCAATCAAGAATTATCTTACATATCTTGTATAATACTTCTGGCTGTTTTGCAGAATTGGCCAAACAACTTCCTCTGTTTTGATAATGATATTATTTTTGCAGATTTATTCTTGATTTATTGAATATTTCAACTGTTACATTCTCCTGCAGTAATAATTTCTTCTGTTAAATTTGTGGTAAACAGAAGAATTCATAGCCATAAGGACCCTGAAAAAGAATTTTCTTTACATTATCATTACCAATATATGATGATGCACAATGGATTGCTTGTAATCAACAACTAACTTACAGTGTTATCTTTCATGGTAGAGGAGTCTTTCGTTTCAGGCATCCACTGAAGTGCTGACATTGTCTGGTGACGAACCAGTGTCAGCAATCTGTCATACTGCTGTTGAAGAGACATGACATACACGTTACAAGTTTAACAGATATACAAATTTTAGGCTAGTTTAAAATAACAGTTTAATGGAATGCCATGTATTTCATTATGTTTGAAACATTCAGTTTTATGGAACTTTAGCTATATTATGCATGAAGAACCATGGCAGTGGCTGTGTGAGTAGAATCAAGAGAGGGTTTAAATCAAAATATTTAAAAAAGTTCCATAGATTTGAATGGTATACTATCACACAAAATTTGTACGATTAAAGATATGGGTTCAAAAATAATAGTGTCAAAGTGATGTACTACACTCAGGTGGCCAAAAGTTGAGGATGGTCAGTATTCAAAGTAATAAGAGGAAGCAGGTGGAAGTATACATTATTTCTCTTCTGAAACTAGCCTACAGAGCCTACCCAACTCTCCCTCAAAAATATGCATGATTTTCAGCATTTTTTTCCTGTGGGCAAGTATGATCCCAGATTTTGCTCCCTTATTACAAAAGAGAACAGTTATTTTACACTTTTATGCTAAGAAAAATAACTTAGAAAATAGTGGCAATATGTAAAAGAAAAAGAAAGTCTCGTGCATTGTAAAATCTAATGACGTGTCAAGTAAATTAATTGTAGAGTAGATACTATTAGGATAGGGAAAGAAAATATGAATTCTTCAAAGAGTATTTCGATCAAGAGATTAACCCTTTGAGTGTTAGCTCATGGATCAGCTATTATACTTATTGAAACAGTTAACTTCAACACATTTAGCATAGAATTTGACATCGTAAAGATCTTTCTCTTACAAAAGAAGACTATTAGAATAATAATTGGGATGAAACACAGACAGTCATGTAACCCAGCATTTATAAAGTTAAACATATTAACACTGGTGTCTCAATATATTTTATCTCTGATGACTTTTATGATAAATAACTCGGAGTATTTTACTATTAATTATTCAATTTATGAGAGACCAACAAGACACAAAAGAAATTTACATGTCCTACAATCACATCTCGCAATGAGGCAGAAAGGGGTCCATTGCACGAGTATAAAAATATTTAACAGTCTGCTCGGATATTTATCTAACTTACTACATGATAAAAAACAGTTTATAAATGAAATAAGAGATGTTCTAATACATAATCCGTCATATACTGTTGATGAATTTTTGCTCTTCTGTCGGGATCAACAGCTAAGGAATAGAATCTTTGAAAATAGCTTTCCCATAGTATATAAAAAAAAGAAAGACTCTAATAATTGGATAACGAAAGGCATAAGAATATCTTGTAAGCATAAGAGAGCATTATACATCTTAGTTAAAAAATCAAGTGATGATAGTTTGAAGTTATATTATAAAAGATATTGTAAGATACTAGTAAGAGTAATAAGAGAAGCAAAGAGACTGTATTATCAAAAATTAATAATTAATTCAGAAAATAAAATACAAGTAACTTGGAAGATTATTAATAAAGAATCCGGAAAAAACCAGGTCTCAGATAAAGTAACAGAATTGCAAGTGGGAGAAAGTAGAGTAACGGATCCTAAGGAATTAGTGAGAATATTTAATAAACATTTTATAACTGTAACTAAGAATTTGGCAACAAAAAATGCTGATAAAAGTGAGGCAATTAAATTATTAAATAACCTTAAGTATGATAACTTACCTGAACTGAAATTAATACCCGTAACTGAGGTGGAAATAAAGAATATACTTAAGACACTAAAATCGAAAAATTCTACAGGCTATGATGGTATTTCTAGCAGAATATTAAAATATAGCATTAATCAAATAAGTAAACCACTTGGACATATACTTAATGCATCACTTGAACGTGGAATTTTTCCCGATAGAATGAAATTTGCGTCAGTAAGACCTTTACACAAAACAGGTGAGAAGGTCGTTATGGCAAATTATAGACCAATATCACTGTTAATAATCTTCTCCAAGATATTTGAAAAAGCGATGTATAATAGGATAAAGCAGCACCTACATACAAATAATCTAATTTCATCTGCTCAGTTTGGATTTAGAGAAAATAGAAGTACAGAATCTGCAATCTATGCCTTAACTAATCATATATTAGAAACTTTGGAACGACGCTGTCTTTCATTAGGAATATTCTGTGATTTGACAAAGGCATTTGATTGTGTGGTGCATGATATCCTTTTGAGCAAGTTGGCTGTATATGGACTTGGTGGTAAAACTTTAAGATGGTTGAAATCATATTTGGGAAATAGAAGGCAAAGAGTGGAATTGTATACTAATGGGAATGAAAAATGTTGTTCAGGATGGGAGATTGTTGAATATGGAGTGCCGCAGGGCTCGATTTTGGGTCCCTTGCTGTTTCTTTTATATATCAATGACCTGTCATCAGCATTAAATACTGATGATAGGTTATTGTTGTATGCAGACGATACAAGCATAGTAGTGTCTGGTATTGATATTGATGAAATCCAAGTAAGGTCTAACTTAGTGTTGAATTCTTTAAGCCGTTGGTTTGCAGTTAATGGCCTGTCTCTAAATCTGAAGAAAACTAAAGTGGTAAAATTTGATACAACTAATCGAGATAATATGTCTATACATTTAAAGTTTAATGATGAGATATTGCATCAGGAAACCCACGTTAAATTCTTGGGCATTGAAATTGATAAGACCCTGAATTGGAAGTCACAGATTGAATCGATGCTGTCCAGATTGGGCAAGGCATGCTTTGCAATAAGAAACATGAAATTGTATAGCAATATTGAAACACTAAAGATGATTTACCACGCATACTTTCATTCAATTATGAGATATGGGATAGTATTTTGGGGAAACTCGTGGGAGGCTAAGAAGATTTTTCTTTTACAAAAAAGGGCCATCAGGATAATGTTGGGAATGAAACCCAGAGAATCATGTAGAACAGTTTTTAAAAAATTAAAAATTTTGACATTGGCTTCTCAATATATTTTATCTTTAATGATACTAATGGTAAACAATCTGGGGCATTATACTTTTAATCATACAATTCATGGTAAATCAACAAGACAAGTTAGAAACCTTCATGTTCCTCAATCGCATCTAACAAAGAGGCAAAAAGGGGTCTATTGTATGAGTGTAAAAGTTTTTAATAGTTTGCCTGATTTTTTAATTGAGTTGGTACATGATAAAAAACAGTTTATTGAGAAACTAAAGGATGTATTGCTTCAAAACCCTTCTTATACTGTTGAGGAATTCTTGCTTTTCTGTCAAGACCTGTCAAGAGGTGTCTGACAGTGTACACTTCATTTAACTCTATGTCCTTGGCTGTGCTTATATATTCTTGCTGCAATTTGTATTGCTTTTTAACTATTGTATGTGTACTTGTTGCAATTTGTATTGCTTTTTAACTATTGTATGTGTACTTGTTGCAATTTGTATTGCTTTTTAACTATTGTATGTGTATTTGCTGCAATCTGTATTTCCTTTTAACAATTTTATGTGTTTTTTTTGACAAGTATGGATTATATATGCTAGTGATTTTGTTTGTGAATGTACATGCTTCCAATGTCTTGTTGGCTTGTTGACATGTTTTATATTCTGTGCCTGTGCACATTTGTGAATAATCTGAAACGCAAATGTATATGTATGTATGTATGTATGCATGCTGACTGATGGATGTCCCACAGTAGGCATTAATATAGACATTAAGTGTAAGTGTAAGTTAAGGAAGGAGAATTATTATGTATTGCTAATTATCTTGTTGGTATAATTGTATGTGTAACATCGTATCTATTTATTTGAGGCATTCAGTTTAGATTTTAAGTATGGTTGAATTGATGTTTCTGCGATTTTATCTGTGATTGTCTTGTGACTGTTGTTTGACAAGTTTTATATTCAGTGCCAGTTGCACACTTGTGAATACTCTGAAACGCTGATGTACGTATGTATGTATGTATGGCGTCAGAAAATGCTTTAATGATGTACAGTGTTCTGGAATGTAATGCTACGTATATGACACAGTTTAAATTAATACTGGTACCTGACATTGAACTAGATCAGCAATACGGTGAGAATGTTGAAGTGGACGAGGAACACGACGTGGCAAGTTATGGTAAACATTCAGCTCCTCAACATGAAATGTGCGCCATATTGGAGAGGGCTGCCTTAACACTAGACGTAGAGTGAGCAAATTCTTCCACTCTATTTGACTCTGTGAAATAAACAGCGAAACTTATTGCCACTTTTAACTTCACATCTGTTGATTTTCTTTATGTCGTGCTTATATATCACTTAACAGCCATATTTTATTATAATACAAAACAAAAACAAATGAATATAGATCCCTATTACCAACTTGAACATTTATACATTACTAGATTCTCAACAACATTAACAAATGTTTTAGTTCTTCTAAAGGAGAAAATACTTTTATTTCAAGTATTATTATTCTAATTCCATTCTTAAAATAAATGTGTAATACATTTCATCATGTTAATAATATATACCATGAGAATAAAGTAGTTTCTTTGCATCAGCTTTACTAAACACTGAATGAATTTTTACTTGTCCCAGTGATTGGTTGGAACATTTGTTTTGATACATTCTATATCCAGTGGTGTGACAACTTGTTTCTCATCCTGTAATTGGATCTACTTGAATATAAGAACAAATTATTATTAATATTATTATAAATAAAATTAAATTTGTCAGATGAAATCAGCCTATTTCTGTATAGCCTGCAAACCACAAACTTATCAGGAGATGACAATGAATGAGATGGTCTTATCTCCCAATGTGGTAAATATTGAAGCATAATAATGAAAGCTCTATAAAAAGAAGAGTGAAAATTAACATGAACATTTCTAACATTAAGTACCATGTCTGTGATATGTTATTTATGTATGTGGGTGCATGCATGTATAAAACTATAAATTATCAACATTGTCTTACATAAAACTTAGAAGGTGAATGTGTGTTCCAGCATGCACATGTCACCCTTACATGGACGCATAACTAATCCAACAGTGACATCATCATTTAGTGTGCAGTCTCATAACTAAAACGTTATTCTTCAAGCTAGCTGAGTAATTTTTCTGGTGTACAGCAACTGCTCAGTTCATGGTTCATAGTTATAACTGAATTCTAAAAACAGAAGTTAACAAAAATTTGCTGTTACAGTCATTACACGGTTCTCTTTGAGACTTTCACTTAGAATAATTAGAAACATTCAAACATGACTGTAATATGTATGCAGCCAACCACCGAGGCATGAAATGTCTACACCCACTCAAATACTGGGATCATGGTTTCAAATCCCAGTCAAGGCATGACGTCTGTCTGCATTTATTCTGTGTTTGTGTTTTCCTCTGGGGTAAAATGTCATGCAGCCAGGTGAAAGTTAACCAACGTTTCGAGGAAAATACTGCCTTCCTCTTCATGGTTGAAGAGTAAGCTATGCAATAAACAAATATGTAGCAGGCTACCTTCTATGAGAGGTGCACACAAGCCGGCATATGTCCTCCTTTCTTCCTGAGCAAATGTAACAATGTAATACATCAACAGATAAGCAAAAAGCAGTAACAGTGAAGTTACCAAATATAGGGAATCGTACAATGGGTTCCCACTGTTAGTTACTTGCTCCTCTGATCAAATCCTTTACTTGAACTAGTGAATCAGAGCTGCTAGCAAATGTTCAGGTGAGGAATTTACATACTGATCATATGGATCTTGGATAAATAGGATGGGTTGGTACAGACTGGATTCATCTTTGCTACTAGTGGAGGGCTCCTGTGAACACAGTAATCAACCTTCAAGTTCCATAACATGGGAAAATTTTGAGTAGTTGAGCAACTGGCGGCTTCTCAAAAAGAACTAGCTCCATGGAGTGAGTTAATTAGTTAGTTAGTTAATTAGGTAAGTAAGTAGTTAGTTAGTTAGTTAGTTGGTTGGTTGGTTATTTAGTTAGTTAGTCAGTCAGTCATTTATTGTCACTGAGTTTAAGGCATTACCAAGGGCACCTTTTCATCAGATGTGAAGTGGATAGGATACATTCACAAACTCAAATATATTGCTTATGGTGATTCCACTATTATTGTATATATTATGAGTTCAAAGGGAAGACTGAAACCAGACCACACTAGGATAATCACTCTCTCTGCTTTTGTATCTGGGAAAACTGAACTTTGAGGACAAAGATATTAAAAGGTTATTACCTCTGTGGCTGAAATGGAGATGAAGTCATGGCTGCCATTCTCGAGGTGAGGACTGGGCATAAGAACTCTGCGAGGAACTGCCACAACCCAGCCTCCCACCTGTTCTGCCAATTTCATACTGCCTGTATTTCCCTTACTTGTAGGCACAAATAGCTTTCCATGCTCTGTACCAGCATTATGACTTGTGCTCCTGTGTCCTTGTGTCTGTGCAAGACTATTAGCGGAATCAAAACGGGCCAGCACAGTTAACCATGCAGTATAGTAATTGCGGAACACCAATTCTCCCACCTACAAGTTACAAAGGTATATGAGATTCTTTCCATGTTAGGAATTAGAACCTCTACTGTATTATGATTATGATTATTAGCTGAANGCGGCAAGGTTGTCAGCCTTATGCACCGGCCACCCTTTACCCCCAAGAATATTCAAAGAATATCCCTGGTTCTCATTTATGTTAGAGGGTGAGTCGACCCCAGGGCCATGTTGTGGCTGGAAGGATTAGGTCAATTGAAAAAATCCAGTGACCTCGTCGGGACTTGAACCCGCGACCTTGCGGCTTGCAGCATAGTGCCTCAACCAACTATGCTACCAAGTGCCCCATATATATATACGTGTTTATTATTATAATAACAATAATAATTCAAAGTAAGAACAAGTAATCCCTGTGCTTAATTAATTAAGTGCTGAGGCATAAAGTCGTATGGGAGAGTGGAGTTATAACTCCACTATTCTTAACCTCGACATTAGTTGAAAGGGAGTGGTTAGCTTCATGCCCCAGCTACTTTAACCCCGGGGAAAGAGTCCCTGGAATCCACTCGACAGGAGGCTGGGCGGAAGCCAGAGGATGTTTGGCCGCTGTAGAGTAGAGAGAAATCTCTTCCTTCTGCCAGGAATCGAAATCCGGCCGTCCAGCCCGTAGCCTGTTTCTATACCGACTGAGCTATCCCGGCTCATAATAATAACAACAATAATGAGCAGGTGGAAAGTAGACCTGCATTATGTCAGACATTACAAGAATATAGAGAATGAAAGTAAAATTCTTAATAATTTCTACAATTTAAGACAATGTGTCTCTGATATGAAAAATAAGTGACTGAGCAGGTGGGTTTTGCGATAATGCTCGAATGTCGGCTGAGACGCTGGTTATCATGACGGAAATCTTTCGTGGTTTTCTTAGGTCCGTACAGGAAAATTGGGGGTTGTACACCACTCAGCCACGACATTAAAAATGTGCCGTTTGGGTCGCATATAAAAAGGCTGGCGCTTCTAAACACCAGTGGCCTTAAATCTTACATGCTACAGTTCGTGTCAAGTTAACCATTTAAGTTCACGTTTTAGTCCGGCTACTTTTTTTTTCAGTTAAATAAATGAGTAAATGCGGAAATAACGCTCTCACATTAGTTCTTGGATAGGTCCACGGGCCATAGTTTGAATACCCTGGTCCGGAGCTACATCAATGCACGCGCATCCATGGTGGAAGAACGGAACAATTACATTTAAATAATGGCAGAAAATAGATTTTTTCCGGTCGCCAGAGATAGCCTTCCCAGAAGCAGTAGAAGCTCAGAAAGGGCTCGGAAGCGTTAGGATAATTCTCTACATAAACAGTTAAAGGTACCTTTACCAGGTCGCGGAAGCTCCCACATTTTCTAGACAATTGGCTCACAGATGGCGGTGAGGTTGTGAGCCTTAAATACCGGCCGCCCTTTACTCCCCGGGAAGATTCCTGGTACTCATTTCAATTATAGGCTGAGGGCTCAGGGTCATAGTGCGACTGGAAGGATTAGATCATTTGAAAGATGCAATGACATCGTCGGGAATCGAATCCATGACCTTCTGTTTAGTAGCATAGTGCCCCCTGCATAAACAGGCGACCAGCATAATTACAAATGAAGAAGAATGACAATAAGAAGAAGAAATTGCGTATCGGGACATGAAAATTCTACAAATTTGTTTTTCATGTAACTCTTCAAACCTATTGCAGAACAAACCAGGAAAATAATTTCATGTTATTTGGCACAGAAACTTTCTTTGTATCAGTGCAGCAACAGGCATTATATTGTATGCTGACTCCTCATAAAGGAGGCCCAAGGTAATTCATTCAGAATTTGTATTGGACAGACTGGACCTGGCGAAGAATTCTTTTCAGGATATTTCAACTTTCTCCTTTTAATGATCATTTTACGAAGTCTCCATATTCCTCTCTAACTGTGGGCAACTGCAACTCAAGAAATGTCTTTTTTTTTATTCAAATCGAAGCCCACCATAGACATAGAGGCAGCATGTTACTCTGACACGTCTCTGTACAGCTACAAGACACGTATTATCACAACCAGCAAGTCTATAATAAAACTTCGTCTGAAAATCAGAAACCTTATATCAAATGCTCGTTATTCCCCCTTTCAACATCGGTTCATGAATTAATGTTTCTATGTCACACCTCAATATTTCTCCATAAATAGGCCTATAGAAAGCTATATAAAATCTCCCCGACGTTCGTGAAAAATCATTAATTAATTAGCTCACAACTCAAATGAAAATCTTCGTGGTACTGCATTTTTTAAGGAGTGACGAGAATCAACAATGGGTTCAATGACCAAACAGCCAAATAATTAAATGTTCCATATCTGATGTGCATTCTTAATTAACGAATAGGTGCATGCCATACGTAATTATTAACATTTTTAAACCTCTTTCTAAAGTTATGCAGCATAAAAACTTACTTCGGATGGTGTGGAGAACTGAAGATCAAGCACGGAACACCCAGGACTGGTAGCTTCATCCTCGTCCAAGCTCACGGCTACTGGCCCTTTGACACTGAACTCCACAGTTTCACTTCCGCTCTGGCGAGAGAGAGCGCCTGGCGTTGACATCGGAACAGGAGCCAAGGCTTGGACCGGTCGTTTGTCTGAATTTATCTCTGTCATGTTTCTCCTGCATGCAGTTCAGATCATGAATATTTATGTTTTGTTTCCTCTAATTTATATCAATATTTCGTTCAGTAATTCTAGTAAGTTAATAAGGGAATGAAATTCTCAGCGTCGTCCTACTATCCAGGAATGTTAACCATGTACGGAAGTAGTACTAGCAGTATTAGATTTGTAGCAGTAATAGTATTAATTGTCGTTATGAAGTTATCGGTATTTACTGGGACTAGTATAATGTAAGGAAATGGGGTGCAAAATAACTGCAAAATCTCTGGCATGTCTTCACATTGTGTATAGAAAATGATAATTATAGAAAGGTATATTTATTACCAAAAACAACGAGTGTTGTCAAACTTGATTTTAGTGTAAGTGTATATTACATGATGTCGTTTACGTGTGTCCCTAATGGTCAAGTTTAAAGCAAAGATTTATCTAATTTCTTGACAGGTTTTTTTTCCCCCTTGGCACTACAGCCCCAGTGGGCCTAGGCCTACCTCCATGAACTTCTCCGTTCACTTCGGTTTTTCTAGATCTTACACATTCGGTAGGACTCCTTGGGCGGGTGATCAGCTCGTCGCAAGGCCTCTACCTGTACACGAACACAGAAAAATGCACACACACAAACTAAACATCCATGCCCTGAGTGGGATTCGAACCCACGATCCCGGTTTCCAAGCGAGCGAAGACAGTACATGCCTTAGACCGCTCGGCTACCGTGACCGGCTTTCTTGACAGGTTAGTTTTGAAAATAACTCAAATTCCAGTTTTGATACATATAAGGTAAAACCGTAACTAGTCAGCTTCTTAGACTTGTTGCTAATGTTAGGAGCATTCGGAAACAGTATAGGTCTAGTAAGTGCATACTAGCTGGAGCAAACGAGCATTTTCCCAAAGCGCTTCGTGGAGGGAGTATGCAATTCTTTCCTGGTTATGAAATAAGACATATGAGAAGAATTTACTATAAAGATAGGTAATAAGAGATGCGTGTAGTATTGGCTCTAAAAGCACTGATTTTTTTTTCTTCTACATCCTACAAGTTGAAAACAATTCCGATTTTACCGTAAGAATCTACGATAGAAGAATCTGTACTAATCAGACAGTCGGGATGGAATGGTTAGCACTTGTTCAAATCTCAGCTCGGAATCCAGCTATCCTGAATATTCTTTTTACTCTTTTCCTCTTTGTCTTCAGTCAAAACTGGCCGTGGCCCCTTTTTCTCTCCATTTTTATTATTCACATTCAGCTCACAATTCGACGCTACAAAATCTATGAACTTGAAAAACAGCTCCGTTTAACCCCATAACAATTAAAACAGGAAACTTACGTGTATGGATATGAAACAGTTCCGTTTGCACGTTGAAGGTAATTAAATTAAACGAAATAAGTATAGACCTATGTGATCCAGTATCCGAGTGAACTTCAAGAACCCAAGATCCCAAGACCCGAACCTCTGCTTCTTGTTGATTTCTGTGGTTGGTCAGTGGATTTGAAGTCGACTCAACTGCAAAGGTCATTTGCACCATTAAGAGGTCCAAACAAATTAAAATTATTGGCATAATTATTTAAACTAGATGTTGATAATATACTTTTCTTCACGCCAAATGCAATGGTTACTTCGCCACACGTTGCTTTACAGAATCTTGTGTATGAAAACTTGATGCAACACGTCATGATGAATTTGGAACTGAGGCAGCAGAAACTTTGTTTTGCTCATATTTGTGTTGTCTGAGAATATTAGACAGACAGATGTTACCTCCCTCAGAGGTGTTTTGCACCAAATGCCTATTTTGCGTAGATGTGCTAAAATCGATCCATCTGGCTGTCGTGAATCGAATTGAATTCAGTCACCACAATACCGGCTCTTATATTGTGGGAAAATGGACCTTAGAGGATTAAAAGCTAAAATATGAAATTAATTTTATATTACCTGGATGAAATTTAATCACTTCCAACGTTTCTATGACGTGTTTTTATGCTATACCTTTCTTCCTGGATGAAACATATTTTTAAAATCGTATTACGTCAACTTTAATGTGGTGTTTCAATAAAAAGAATTATTGGTGCCCGTATGTTATGCTAAAATATTTCAATTTCAACCATGTTTCCACATCTGTTGTTAATTTCCGGTCACAGATCTTTAAGCAGCACCACAATACCATGCTCGCCTTGCAAACAAGTTGTCATAGCAACCCGGCAAGCATCACATGTGAAGAATGCGCAGACTCTCTTAGCCGTGCTGTTTGCTTCGAACAGTTATGGATATTTAAGCCCTTATGAGTATGTATAACGAATTAAATATCCGTAAAGGTAACCTAAATAATTTCTATGCCTCAAACAGTTCGTAACCGTTCAAGTCAAAGCTCGGATCCTTGACGGAATATTGAACTGTTGCACCGTCATGTGATTCCATTTACGATGAGTGCAGTTTTGTGACATTGCAATGACCATTTAAAGCTAAGGATTAAGTATCCGTATATTGTCACGTATTGGGGGTAGCGTAACTAAGAATTGTGGGTTCTAGATTTGAAGATTGGATTTATGGGACGTCTCTATTACAATTACACTGGATTATAACAGTTCACACATTGAACTACTTCTTGATGACGAATCTCCCACTGTCTAGTCTCTAGCCTTCTACTACTCCTTCTAACTCTTGAGTCAGAGTCAGAGTCAGAGTCAGAGTTACTTTACGACTAGGCCGCACAATAGCTCAAGCGGTTAGTCGCTGGCTTCCCATCGCGGCGGCCCAGGTTCCATCCCGGGTCTTGTCAAGTGCAATTTGTGGCGGACAAAGTGGCGCTGGGACAGGTTTTCTCCGTGTATTTCGGTTTCCCCTGCCAGTCTTCATTCCACCAATTGCTCCACAATCACCCTCACCTATCATCTGGGGCTGGTACAATAGGCCAGAAGTGGCCGCAGTACACGGGACTTAGTCCCACCCCACTAGCAATAAAAAAATACGACTGGCGGTTTACCGCCAATCAGTTTTTCTTGGCAATAAGCCGCTTGAGACCCACGACCAGAATTATTTTCCAACTGAACATTTGCGGTTATACTCGTAGTCCTTATGTAGCATCCTCTCTGATGAGAGGATAGGTCTGTCGTTTACAACTGCTGCTGGTTCTCGCCAGCCGAGTCAAGACCAATGTGTCTTCGAATGAAGCACTCATCTGGGGCTTACGACCAGATTTGTATTACTGTCAGACAGTTGCGGGTTTATTGATGTGGGGCGTTCTCTCTGACGAGAGGACGGGTCTGTCGTTTACCTTTGCTGCTGCATCTCGAGCGCAGTCATTCTCGGGTCCGAGTACCGTGGGACTCGCAACCATATTTTACTGTCTCAGATTCGAGACTTCCTTTTTCGTCGTCTCCTACGACTCACAGGGTTACGGTGGACATATTCGATCCCGCCTCCACACGGGAGTCCTCACCAGCGAATGAATTACGTACGTGTCCTTTTAAGACTCAGTGGGGGCCGCAGACAGAATACACACTTGAAGGGTTCGTCTGTTATCATCTGCGTATCCGTTGTCACGGTAATGCTTGTCCGCCTAAGCCGTTGTCCAGCAATGGTCTATTCCGCGTTGCCACGGGAATGTGCTCAGTGCAGGGCAGCCCAGCAGGCAGTCATATTCCGACTTTCAGGCGCCATGTCATAACAAGAACCACTTGCTTTAAACAGGGCATTCGCCAAACGGACGCATAATTCTGTAATGAACAATCACCCTCAGCAAATTCTCAGACCCCTCTTCGTGATATAGTAACCCTCAGAATCATTCCCAAAGATTATAATTTAATAAAAATTGAGAACGTAATATTTTATTGATTCAAGAGCTATAAACGGAAAAGAGTGTTAATACTAAGAAATCCTAACTATTTCACGACAATCTGAAACCCATTAGTTAGCTGTGAGTGGCCCGGTTCTGACAAGGAAGCGCTAAACACTGCAAACTGGATTTATGAGGCCTATGTCAAGCTTAGTTATCGCTAACTCTTCAGTAACAATTTCAAAATCCTAATGACAGTGCAATTATACAGAATAAAGTGTAGGTTTCTAACATCTGGCTTTGCATTCGATAACTTAGAGAAGGGCAAGTTACTAGGAACTGCGTAATTTAGTCATATAAACTACGTCAAAAAGTAACTGTGAGTATGTTCCCTCCTTCTTCTTTGGTCCCTGTGTTACTGTAATAGTAATACATATTACAGGCCATAGCTCAAGCGGTTAGTCGATCCCGGGTCTCGTCAAGTGGGATTTGTGGCAGACAAAGTGACGCTGGGGCAGGTTTTCTCCGAGTACTTCGGTTTCCCCTGCCAATCTTCATCCCACCAATTGCTCCACAATCACCCTCACCTATCATCTGGAGCCGGTACAATAGGCCAGAAGTGGCTGCAGTACAAGGGACTTAGTCCCACCCCACTATCATTAAATTATATATATATTATTCACAGTATGAGGGAATGATGATACACAAACATACAACCACTACAGTGTAGACGAATTGCTCATGGGAAGAGCAAGATTGAAAAATTTGTCATTTGGATAAAGGAATAATACACTTTTTCAGGACCAAAGTAAATTCTGAACTACAATACACATTCACAGAACTAATACAAAGATGAATATAAAAATACAATCCATTGTGAGAAACTATGGTAATGTAATAAAATGTACCTCAAAACTATTTTACAAAATGATATATTTCATCAGGCTTCCTAGGATATCTCTTTCCTTCGTCAATTTTTTAAAGAAAAGTGTTTGGTATACCACTCTTCCTAAATATTAGTCCTCTTTTATTGTGTTCTCAGGGACACATATCTGACTGTTTTAATTTAAATTTCCAACTAACGTTTTCTAAGCACCATCGAAGGCTTACAGCTGAGATGCGAAACGAACTGTACGAGTATAAGCTATCCAGCCTCATATCGCAAAACTGATTTTACCTTATGCATTTTTGAGAAAACAGAAAGTTCAAGAACTCAGTGCTACTGCTGGTTGCCTAACACAACTTTCATAGGCCTAACATAGAAAGAGGGCGGGGGGGGGGGGCAGAAGGAGGGATAGTATGGAATAGACCTGTGTCTATCTGGAAATATGTAAAGTTGGCTATCTGGTTGATAATGTGCCTGATTTTGATTCTGGAAGCACCTCCTTTGAACACCACTCTGTTATCGTTACTGAACTACTCAGTCCCTACAGGTTAATGCGGGCATATTACCCTAAAATATGATACAATTACTTCCTCCAGCATTCCTCCTTATGACCATTTCATGCCACTGCTAGCTAAGAAAATTAATTCTTGCAGCTAAAGATGGAGGTCTCCAAATACATTATGTGCTGTAAATCTAAGCTACAAACAAAGCAGTCAAGATGGTTAACACCCTCAAAAAGGAGACATATTCTCATTGTAGAAGCAATGTGTTAGGACATAATTAAGAACTTTGACATAAGATCATCAGAATTGTGTGTATGAATGCCATTTCTTATACTACATTAATATAAAACACACATGTTAATGCATAAATACTATAATGCTTACTGTAAACAATATAATACAACATTTCATTTGGACTAAATTCAAAATTAGCCAGAAAGTAGAAGAAAAGTAGGAGGGCCCAGACTGAGATGTATGTATGATGTAGGGAATGATTTACAAGAGCTGAGAAGCACAAGTCAAATAACAGAGAGGAAGGGGCATCCATTATAAAGGAGACCAAGTTTCTTACAGTATTGTAAGACCTAGGAGCAAGCAATTGGAAGAAAAATGGGCATTATAGCATGGAGTCAAATATACCAATGAAGGTGAAAGAGCATCACAGACAAAGGAAACTTTATTTTGTAGGTTATACCACTAGTTAGCACTAAATCAAAGTACTGCATTTAACAGAATTTCCATAACGTTAACCCTGTAGCTCATTTATGTAACTGTATAAAATGACACCTATATGAAGAAATAAAATCAGCAGAGATCATACCAAATGTGTGCTTAGTTTCTTTTCAGCCGATATCATTGTTCTATTCTAAAATGATTTTGAACAGAACATGATCCTAGACATAAAACTTATACAAGGTCCGTATAAAAAGTATCGGGAAAAGTTCCGGGAAAATAGATTTATTTCAGATATTGCTACAATGCCTCAAAATTCTTCAAAATACATCCCTTGTGCATCGATACACTTTTGCCAACGGCGTTGCCACGACACGAAGGTTCCCTGGTAGGCGGATTCCGGAAGGTCCTTAAGGGTCCGTGTGCAAGCCTCTTTGATGGCACTCAGGGTCCCATGATGGTGCCCTTTGAGGGAGGATTTCACTTTCGGGAACAGGAAAAAGTCTGCTGGTGCCAAGTCGGGACTGCAGGGGGGTTGGGGGTCTTCCTCAACGCGTTGCAGAAGGTCTTCGCAAGCAGCCACTCGTCTCTGCTTTTGGTCGTCTGTCAAGACCTTCGGGACGAGTTTCGCGCAGACCTTTCGCATCGCCAAATCTTCAGTGATAATGGTGTGCACCGTCATCTTATCAATGCCAACACGATCTGCAATCATGCGCACACTTAACCGACGGTATGAATTGCGTACATCACGCACACGTTGCACGTTGTCGTCGGTTCTTGACGTTGACGGCCGTCCACCGTGGGGCTCATCCTCCACACTCTGTTGGCCATTTAAAAACTGCAGTTTGTGACATGCTTTCATCCTTGAACACTTGGCGAATCATGCTCAACGTCTCCGTACCCGATTTCCCCAGTCCAACACAAAACTTGATGGCGTACCTCTGTTCAATCGTTCGCTGCATTCTGTGCTTGCACCGACTCACTCGACAGGGGTCCACTGAAAACACGGCCTGCCCTCTACGAACGCGCTCAGGCGAATGGTGCTTGGCGCGTGTTAAAGGTTAAACCCCCACCACCACGCCTGTGCGGTGCGAGCGTGCTGCGGTGTACAGTCACGTAAGGGAAAGATTTTTCTCGATACTTTTTATACGGACCTTGTATTATCAATTAACATCAGACACTCAGATGCTTGCATTAGCCTTCATCTAAGGTCTAGGGGAAAGCATCCAAGAATGTAGAACTTGCAGATAGTTTATACTTGAGATCTTATTTTTATTTGAGGATAAATTCAGTGTTTCAATTCTGGGTAAAATAATGTTCCAGTATTACAATAAAAGTATTCCACCCTTGTAACATGTTCCACTTCATTATACCTTCTAGACCCTCTGAAACAAACTAATAATCTCATTACAGTACCAAAATTACCAGATGATCATTTTTATTTACTAAAGAAGCCCCTTAAAATTCAATTCTGGTACACCCCTGCATAAATAAATAAAAAACTGGTGAAGATTCACTACTGATAATCCGTAAGTCTTGTTGTGTCATTTTGCCTCATTCCATTGTTAAATATTCATACATTCTAGCTACAGTGAAGAAGTACAAGTTGTATCATCCAGTTGCGAAGAAGAATGGGTCTCAGAAGTCAGAATGCAAAAAACAAGTGTGGTCTCCAAATGATTCCTCATTTCTGAATAATTGGTCATAAATTATGCAATAAGACGCAGCTCCAGCTACATTTCAATACATTTCCAATCCAAAATAATTTAAATTATCCAGCTTATTCTCTTAAAATTATAATTTATGCTCCACTGGTGCTAATATGGTACAGGGATAAGAGTGTACGGGAAGCTTATACTTGTGTCTTGTTGCCTTAGGTAGAAGTTTGGAGGATCTTGAGTGCACCATGGCAATTCTAATAGTGTTCACTTACATAATATATACAAGCNAATTTATTTGTCGCGATATACCCCGCGATACGCGACAATATATACAAGGCCTTTTCATAGTAACATATCTGGATTCTTTAAGAATTCTTATTTCTGGAATATAGTTCTTAGTATTCCATTGAAAGTCAACTAACATGCTGGAGGAACATATAACTGCCATCTTCAGGGTTGAAGAGTAAGCTAAGTAAGAAGCCAGCATGAAGCATGCAGCAAAGCAGTGGTTATCAAATGAAAGAGATGCAAACCGTAAAAAAACTTGTGAGAGTTGATCTTGGCAAAGAATGAAACAGGAGATTCCTTGAACTATTCAAATGTTGAATGTAGACTGACTTAGGAATACGAGTAAATTACATTGATTAAGACTGTATTCTTGTGGGTCGTGACGCTGTCCTTTCTTTTCGGTAGATGCCAACATACTTCTGGGGTGAAGTGTGTAGGTTCGGGAAATGACTCAATTATATAGGCAGGATGCAAAGGAAAATACTACAGACAGGACTTTCATCCAGGACAACGGGAAACATGGATACTATCTGTTACCCAGAACAACTGGAATGCATATAAAGAAGTGAACTGTTATTTTATAATTCATTAAGTCAATTCTACATGAGTTAAGAAAACATGCTATTATGTAGTCAGGTCCTGTTCAGGTTTTAACATTCCTACTCCAAGCCAGCTGCAAGTTCTATGCACCTGACTGGTCAGAGCTCTTCTCCTGACTAATAAAGAATAAGAAAATGGTCCCCTTAAGAAGGAAATGTGAAAGTATAACTAAGCCAGTTTCTGTAACTATAAACTTCAAGGCTGCAAGTTCCTTCAAAACGTTAGTATCCATCTAAATGATTACATGATGTCAAAACCCAGGAGATTACAATCCATACTGTCACATCTGTGAAAACCTCAGAACTTACAAATATTACAATGATGATTACTAAACGCAGAAAGATATGTTTGGGATAATTAGAGACACAACTACAATTAGGGATGTTAATAGATATGACTTCATAAGATTAGTAAAAATTCTTTGGATTTTTTACTTTTTATGACTTTACATATTAAAATTGCACAATCTCATACTATAGGAAAAACATTTCACTTAATAATCTAAATCAAATTTTATAGAAATGTTAATACATCCTACACGATTACATAATAACAGAATGTGTGGTATAAGGAATTATGTTTGTGTTGTTAGACACTTATGCCACAAAAATAGAGGAAGAATAAGTTTTTCATTCTCACTTTCAACTTTAATAATGATATTAGAAATAAATTAACAGAAAACAATGGATGTACAATTTTCAGTTGAGAATTTTTTCACTAATATTTTATGGCATTGAATTACTGATACCAAATCATACCCCAGTAGCATGTCTCCTGTCGCCAGGCTTTAATAGCTTTAAGCACAAAATATTGACAAAATAATTCGACTACAATCAACCAATATTCACAATTTAAGAGAGAATCACAGAAGAGTCAAACTGTTTTTATTAACATTATATACAAGATGAAGAACACACAGCTCTTAAACCCTCACCACTATTAACAAATCAAAATTATTCATGACATTTTAGATAGGCCATGATCAATGGGACACCAGAAGGAATTACTGAATAACATAAAAGCATTATCACTCAAGGATTATGACATTACTGATCTTACACTATGAGGGAAACAACAGTCTCTCAGTCGACATTAAAATATGGCAGCTTCAGAAAGGAGGATTAGGGATTTGCCCTCCTCTTCAGTTGAGAATATTTCCTTTTTGCATGAAGAGCTGATATTCGGAAACCTCTCACATTTTATAAACTACAAATGAAAAATACAGTAATGTAGTAATAGAAGAAATATGCTGTGCAATTCTGAGCTAAATGCTTAAGGAAAATGTATATGTCAAAAGTTGTTTATTATAAGAAGAAATACTTTCTGATGAATTATGACTCCTTTATTTGGAAGTTTTATGACTGACTAATTTGCAGGTAATTAACATTTCTGCATCATTTTCACTGGTTATATAGCATCAAATATGATGGGATGATGATCACCATGTTAAAGATATTCATTAACTGTCCCCTCTAAATACTAGAATTTCTTTTGAAAACAATGTAAAATTAAGTTACATGCTCAAGAGTCTCAAATAATTCATGCCACTCACTCAGCCGCTGGCTTCCCTGTAAGTATGAATGCACCAAATTTCAAAGCAGCAACAGCTTCTCGGTATGCACTTACATAACTAGAGATGAAATATCTGATATGCAATACTATTTCCATAAGGATCCCTAGTATACTTAATACACTGAAAATATGGTATCAAATATAGAGAGAATAGTTTCAAATAATAATTTCTCATGCTGAATTCATTTCTGTTACCCACATTTTGGCATATTTATTTTAAAATACCATATTCATTTCCACAATTACACATAATATGCTAAAGTAAATAACAATCATGATACTGAATGTTGCAGTCAAACTGTTAGCACTCCTCTTTGTATTCAGGGTCCCAGGTTCAAATCTTGAACTGCTGACCAGCTATCCTGAGTGGAGTTTTATATGGTTTTCTTTTTTCCTTCAGGCAAATGTCAGGATAGCGTATTAAAGGAGGCCATACTGCTTCCTTTCACATTTTTTCTAATTCCTTACTCACTAATCCTATCATTTGACATTACATAACCGTAGCAACTGAAAGGATCATTAAATAAGCCAATAATAATAACAACTATGATCATCCTTAATCCTGAAAGAATCAAAATGGAGTATGATAATTTCTTGATATAATATTTAGGATATGCATGTATGACTTAATCTTCCCACTTCCCTAGAAGAGGGAAGATGGGAGAGACATTCTTTTCCTGGTGAGATATGGAGCCCACTGTCTTTGTTTAATCTGTAATAGTTCTACAGCTCATTTATTAACCTTCAGATATTGTAATGGATGATCACATGTGAACTTTAAATGTAATAAGATAAAGGTTAATAAACTTGAAATACTACTCCATATGTATATAGAAGGCTATCCAGAAAATCACTTAAGATTTAGAAGCCTATACATTCTTAACCATCATGCATACTGACAAAAACAAAACAGTAACATGAAGGTTAATTCAAGAAGTTTTGCCAACTGTAAAGCAATGTGTTCCTCTGTTGAAAATCAATTTATGGTATGGCCTAGTTATATGACTTTTCTCCTCTGGAAGTGCCATGATCACTGGAAAAATTTATCTTGAAGTGCTGCAGAAACCCACCTTTCTGCATCTGTAAGAAAACTTAAATTGAAAAATTTTAGCAAGATAAAGTACTAATTCATCAAGCTACATTATTCATGAAGTACTCAATGAGAGATTTCCTTCGCACAGGAATCACTTGGCTTCCTATGATTTGATGACCTTAGACTCTTTATTGGGGGCTTATGTCAAAAGAGTCATGAACACGTCTAGTGAAAAGGTGGCCAACATAGATGAACTAAAAGAATGGGACACTGCAGCTGTGAAAACAAAAGCACCAAAGGTGATGCACGAATGGAAATCAGTCATACCATGAAGGAATACACATTAAAATTTACTAACAAATACTTTCACAGAACCTTCATTTCAGTGTTTCATTCTGTGTAACACACATAGTGATCACAAACATACAGCCTTCCAAAACTCTGAAGTGACTTCTTGAACACACTGAATAATTTGTAAAATTTTCAAATTCTCTTGGTCTTTTCCTTAATTAATTACAATGCTAAGTATAAACCAAAGCATTCCAACTATAATGCACTACACTCCAGACTACTAAGTTTCTGAACTATGTCATCTTCTAATATTCTAAAAAGACCGTACTGTTTTGGAAACTGCATCTGTTTTCTTCCAAATTCAAATATATGAAGAATTTACTCATTTGGATTTAACAGACAGAGCTAACATCTATATATGCACCTGGTATTACATTTTTTCAGCAGGAGAGAAATGGAAAATTTACAATAGAAGATTCCGAAAATACGCACGAAGACCCTATGACTAAGACATAGAATGAAATAAAAAATAAAGCCATCAAACAAAATCAGAAAAACTAAATCCAAAAATACTGATACAGAAGAAAACCTAAATTTTCATGTCTACCTAGCAGTACAGGAAGCCCCAAATGAAAATTATGGATACACATGGAGAGCCTATCAGATCCTGCCATCCTTCCATGTATGTTGCTAACCTCACTCATGCAAAGGCGATATCACAGGGAAGAAATTTCCAAGCTACGCTGGGTGATCAGATGTGTGAAACATATCACACATACCAGTTCCTTATAGTTTCTGTACTTGTCCACCCTTGCACCTGCGAATGGAAACAGATCCTGTATTCCTTTTAGAATATAAGACAGTGGAGAAAGTCAAGAAACTCATTAAGCCCAAGTGTAATTACAGGACTGTATAGTCAATCCTACCAGTCTGACAGTTAATACTTCTGCATACTAATGATTTTTAATACTGATGTTGGCGAACAAAGCTCATTAGTTCATATTGTACAAAATTATGAATAGTCTGTAAGATACAGAACAGGGAAATTTACAGAACTTGTCCACTAAAAAAACATAAGAATATAGTGCTGAGTCAAAACTATGTATCCAGTAATTATGATCATAGTGATTAAACTGCATCTTTCACTGTCTCCAGAAGCAAAGGTTCATGTGATACCCATCCTTACAGTGTGCAATCAGTCCTTAATATGTACTGTAATCATGTTGTCCATGTCCATTACAATTTACAAGCAAAAGCAGCGTTCCCTTTATCATGTTTAAATATTATCAGAGAAAAGAATGATCATGTTGAGGAAGACAAGAGGTTGCTGATCATTAAAGAGTGCATGTTTGACTGCAGCCATACCAGACATACCTGACTCTTAGTATTTGAACTATCTTATCTTGATTTTCATTTCATGTGATATGTTAACTGATACATATTTTTCTGACTCTCATTCATCAATATCACACATCAAGTTCCAACTCACATTTATTTCTAGCTACCAAGAGACACCTGTGCAGATTAGGTTTTTGCTCATGTTCCTAGCCTAAAGGAATGTATTCAAAATAGCTTCTTGCTGAAAATATATTAAAACATTAAACTTTATTTCTTATTCTTTCTTCATTACAACCAACCATGTGCTAAAGCACTTAGGTAGACAGATCTGGTCTTTGCTGTGTCACTATCTGGAATCACTTCCCTTATTGTAGTTACAGTTTGGAATAAGATATTTAAAAGGCACAGCCTTTCAGGACAGTTCAACAAGTGTATCGTTTAAAAATTAAGAACAAGACTACCAATTCTGGTCCAAGAGATGCTGTAAAGTTCATCAGCAGGACCTAGTATCAACTTGGTCCACTGAAACTATTAAATACTTAGCATAACTTATCAAAAACTGTAAGAATAGACTGACTTGATAATTCATGTTGCATACTAAAGTCTTTGCTGGCAGATATGACTAGACAAAAAATACAATCATATTTTAACAAAGTAAATTTACAGAAGAGTATATTTACTTACCTATTAATATCATGGAAATGAGTTATGCCATCACCACATTACAGCATTTAAATTGTTGATTTTAAGCAACTCTTTCATATTTCTTTTGAATTTGCACTCCTTTAAGCATTATGCTCATTCACTCTGCAAATTTTGAAGTACAATATTCAGGCATGCAAACTAGGCCCACAACCATGAAACAGGTCATATTAATAGCACAAATACAATATAGATATGGACTGAAGAACTGAAAGAAGACCACTCAAAGTACAAAAGCATGGAAATATTGTACATGTCAGGGTTGAAGGAAATGTGACAGTTTTAATTTTTATTTTTATGACATGCTGCTGTCCTATTAAGACACACATCAGATCAATTGTCCCAGTGAAAAGTAATACTCCAGCACCCACCAAAGCAATGAATCTCATGTCAGTGACATTAAAAATGCCAAAGTTCAAGAAAAATAGATTATTCTTTTTATGGTCCTACAAGTTACAAATTTTCTCCTTTAATATTAAAAGTATCAAAACTTAAATACGTACACTATTCCTCACTGGGACAGCTGGCATTATATATTTACCAAAGTTCATGAAATCATGTTTCTTGAAACATTACTATTCCCTGTTAAAAGAATATAATTCAAGATTCCTGATAATGTGAAAACGAAGTCATTAATTCAGGTTTCTACATAGTTCATGGCAGATACAAGTTTTTCCTCACACATTTGGAATTGGCATTTACATACAATTCAGAAAACATGCAAAATCTGAAGATCTTACACAGCATACCTGCTGCTGAAAAATCTCAATTTGTTTTAAATTAAATCTTAATTACCGACACTTGCTCCCCAAATAACATGAAAATATAACACCCACAATGTGTAGGAGTCCACCTGTATAACTTGCATGTAAAAATCATACGTATGATGCTGCCTTAAATTCCAGGCCACTGTGAACACTGCAGTCACAGACTGAAATACATACTCTCCTTCAGTTTGATTTCGTATGTGAAAACTTATACATAAATGAACATTGTTAACTAAACTGCATGACTACATTAAAAGTGTAATCATACACGAAATTACTAGAGAACACCTTAAAACCAGCTTAATATTCAGTTTCATGTTTCTGTTACTAATGGCCCAATGATCCGGAGCATCTACCATGCAGGCAGGATGGACAGTAACAGTAGACTACCCGTGTATTAGGAAGAGTTACAGTGTTTGTATTATATTTTCTAAGTATTATGAGAGTATTTTTTTACCAGTTTTCTTAATGAAATGGCTATGTTTTCAGATCATTTGAAGTGGGACATAATATTTTAGGCTATTTCTATGGAATGTCAACTTGAAAAATTAAAGCTCATACCAATGTAACAGAGATCATAGACATTCTCTAAGAAGGCTTCTAATTCAGAATATTCATGTAACTGTCACTCAAATGATGGCAGTCTGTACACTGCAATACCTTCTGGGCCTCAGGGCTTTCTTGGCCAAATCAAGATTTATGACCATTTTATCTTCTTAAAGTTATATGTATGAAGCACAGACTGCTGTCACATGCTACTGTATAGTACACATATTCCTGATATGATTAGTGCTACAGTACTCAAATTTTGTTACAAATCATCAATATCTAGCTCATAAGTAACATCATCGTTGTACTGAAATATGCAAAAAAAAATTATACCAAAAATATGAAAGAGTATGTATTGCACTGAAATATTGAAAATATCAAAACATCGTAATATTATACATCAGACCATTAAAACTAATCAGAGGAAAATAGGAGACAGGAACTGTACATGTCACAAGTCTCAGTATTTTGGGGACACAAATAAATTCAGAAATAATCTGATCAGTAAAAACCAAATCTAAATGTGTATACACATACACATAAACATACTAATAAAAAGCAGATTAGTTGAGCTTACAAATTTGTCATCTAAATTTTGCAGTAATTACTTCAAACTACACGTCTGGAAAGAAAATGTCACCAATAAAATCTTACCAAAATCCACTGAATAAAATGTAATGCTTCCATTTATAGGTATTAAACATTTCAGTTCACTAGCACCATGCTACAGCAGCTGATATTCAACCAGTTAGGAATTTAGCTGATTTTATGAAACTGAAATATTCATCGCCATATTCATCAAAGTATGCTACTGGAGCATTCACAAACTAATTAAATCCACTACTCATACCAACTCCATATTTCTCCAAGATGTGCCATTTTCAACACTATCCTTCCACCTGTGCCCAGGCCCCCCCCCCATGGGGTTTTGTTAATGAAAGAATCTTTTTCTCCTATATGTGCTATATCTTATGCCCATCTAATCTCATTAGATGATGAGTGAATACTGTGAAGCTCTCACAACGTACTTTTTCCATTCCTCTCTTACATGATTCTTATTAAGTCCACATATACTCCTTAAAGACTGAATTTCTTTAATATAAATATAAAAATTCAGTTTGTATCTTGAAGAAAGCACATTATATCTATGTTACAAAAGATCAACCAGTTAATGCTGTTTAGGGAAACAGTTGCTGTTTACTGTGAGAACCATATGAAACATATGAATACATTTTGTGGACAGAATGCAATATTAGTTCAGGTGGTATATACGATACAGAACCACAAGGCTTGGATGGTTAACAGATGGTTCACCTCAATCTTTGTTCTTCTCTTATAGTAAGAGATCACATTTCGCATTCAAATTCCATTAGTGAAGTTACACCTCTATGAAATTTTAACCTCTAGGCTTTAAAGTGGAGTCAGGAAGATAAAAATTCGAAACTCAGTGGTATCATGCATTTCCAGATTTAATCCTACCTTACTTTCATCTTGTATATAAGTCTAGTTTGTTCCTGCTTTTTCCAAGTACTTAAAATCTTCCACATTTTCAAGAGACTTGCTATTAATTCTATTAAAATATTATTCTGTACTAAAACTGAGACATGAACATATACAGTACTTATTATTTTTGGTGTCTGTTTCTAGAAGTACCTTCTCCCCAGCATCTAAATGAGTTTATCACCTAACAAATTAAAACCATGCCAGGTTATGGCCAGTTTCTATACCGTCTGATTCTGCCAGAGTAAATTTTTTAAGAGGGACAGAAGCAGTACTGAATAAATGGAGGAGGAAGAAGTTGCCTTTGAAATTTAACTAGTTAATTTATATCAGTGGTCCTCAAACATCAGATACCTGTATATTCTATAATAAAAGAATATTTCATGTTATGCTTTACTGTCCAGATCTATCAACACATCTTCATACCAGCAACATGGCACAACATACATCTGTGTAATCCAGCATGTCACAAACTGAAAATCAGAGCAAATACTAATTATACTAATATATTACTTGTTACCAAAAATAATGCATTCCACATTTTGGAAACAAGTTATTAAAGCTACAAGAAGAAGAATAGAGATGGTGGTATGAATATAAGTTGTTCGTATCAGGGGTCATTTACATCCATGGAAGCCCACTGATAATTTTCTGTTGGGGGAATATGTTATATTTTTATCACTAATACATATGACAAATGCATTTTCAAGAGAACTCTGTGTTACCAACATTAACAGAAAGAACAGGAATATGAATGTATTATAAGGATGTATAAGGATGCTATGATTATTGATGATGATGATGAGGATGATGATGATGATGATGCTGATGATATGGAATAGCTTAGTAGGACAATACAACAACAATGACAATATAAGAAGTTAAATTTTAACCTAAACTTCTAGGTTTATTTCAGTGGACTGCAGGTGACCAGATTCAACTTGTCAATTATGAATGAAACATACCTTAAAAGCCTAGGCTATAAGTTTCAGAAAACCTAAATTACTATCCTAGATGTTTTGTTATTCCAATATTTCCAATTATTCAACAAATGAGGTACTTTCTATAATTAAATATTTTATAAAATATTTGGCTAGAATATTCAATTACTTTTAACAAACCAAACCAAGACTTTACTCAATTATTGTGTAATATTAACAAAAATAATTATATCAATAATGACATCATATTGTGCACAGCCCCAGATATGATAAGTTCATGGCAGCAGAAATAAAGAGTGTATGTTTTTGCAATATATTACTATTCAGACATGTTATTACTGGCATAACAACATGCTGATAACAAGTACATATCTATATTTCTCTTTATATATGTATATATAATATTCTTTACATATATTTCCATCCAACAAATGGAGAGCAGACTCCGCATAGATTGAAGAGAAGAGCATGGAAGATGTCGCAAATATGATGCTACACAAACCCAGTGAACGTAGGGCAGCCAACCAAATGCAAAACCAACAATGAAAACTGGGAACTCCCATGTCTTGTCCCACCAAAATGTGCTATACAAAGACAAAGGTTCACAAAGCACCAACATGCATCATTTTGAGAACAGATGGGGAAAATGTACAACATTTTAAGGCCTTTAAACAGAGATGTAGTGTCTGACAATAAAGTGGCCTAAAATACACGTAACAAGTGACCATACACTCGCAGCATCTGATGGGGTGGTCGCACACATAAGTAGGCGGTAGGAGGGTAGGCGTTAGTCATTCTGAGGAGGCTGCATCCCATTCAGGTCAGAACCAGGTCTCTGTGGACTTGGACCATTGTCAGCAGGCGTTGGACTGCGACCAGAGCTACTGGTGCTGCTTAGAGCCATCCGTTTCATCTTTTGGACCACTGTAGTTGCAAGGTATGCTTGCTGGAATCAACCACATTATAAACAGTCAGGTATAGCAGATTACAAGTTCTGATTACATCTGATTAATGTATCTGACTTATTAAACATACATGCAGTCTCACTCTAATACATTTGCTTGATATTAGGTATCATGCTACAGCAGTGTTCATAAGGGTAGGACGAGGCTTTCTTTCACTGTTTAATGAACAGCCATCACTAGAGCCGAAGTAAATGTAAATTTCATCTGATGTTATGAAAAGAAAAGAAAACAGTCAAATGGATGAAGAATTAAGATCCAGTGAATTCTCTTCTTAAGCTCATGCTTTTGAAATTTTAAAAGGACTGATATAAATCAGCAGTTTCTCAAATTTAAAAGTTTCTGAGTGATTTAACCAAATTTCTACCGCTATGTGATCCCCAGAATGTTCTTTAAGAGAATCATTGTTATGAGATCAAATATAACTGTTATATTCCAGCATTTGAAACCTGTACTGCTACCAGAATTTTCCACGTAGTTAGCTGTAACAAGTTATAGGCCACTACTGGAGTATGCATATCTGTGCATAAGCTCACCTGTAGCAGAATATTAATAGACTTTATTATTACACTGGGATAATAAATTTTATCATATGGTACTTACAAACATACTACAATATAATAGTTTTGCCATGAATTTGCATCAGTTCACCTTACAAATTAATTCCATTATATAATAAAAAAAAGGGCCTACAACTCTCTTCATAATTGCATGAAATTCATAAGAGACATTTTTCTCTCTAATGCCCACACAACATTAATTCTGAAGAAATGATAAATGATTAACTGCATAATTAGAATCATAAAGAAGCAAGCATCTGACCACACTAGCACAGTGACCAACAATGGTCTAATGTGCCTTCCCAGCATTTATGCCATCAGAAAACCCACATGGTGAGTAAAGTAAATTAGTTTGCTGACTGAGACCTGATGACAGTCATAGGGATTCAACAGATGAGATCCAAAGACATGACATCTGAGTCTCACGAGAGACTTGTGACAGAAAACTGCATGGAAGACCTTTTCATCAGAGTTATGATTAATGTATTAATTACGAACCTGTGATATTACTGTAAAAGTGTTAAAGTCATGTGACAGTAGTCACATAAGTAAAAGATCATTCAGTGCTTCATTGAGAATGAGTATCCCCCCCCCCCAAGAACAATCTTTGTACCACTGACAATTCACTTTTTATGTAAATAGTGGGAGGAAAGTGAATTTTAAGTTTTCACTGATCAATTTTGTGTTTATAGATGAAATCATGTCCTCTGCATGAGAAAATAGCATATGAGGCAATGGTTATTCCTGTGCATAATTCCATGCCATGAAAGGTATATGGAATGTGGAGATAGCGCCCAAAGCTTTCTTTTGTTCAATACTAATGATAGATGGATGCAGTATGCTGCTGTCTTCAAGCCAGGAAAAGAACCATTATCAGATGGGCTCCTGGTCCATTCTAAGCATAATGGTGAAGAGAACATCCTGTGTCCCTGATAGAAATCAAACTCCATTCAATCCCACCATAGTTAGACACATTTTACTGACGCTGCTATCATGGCTCACACACACCATTGTATTACACTTGCAAAAATTTCACCAGCTCAAAGACTCATATCTCTAGGAGGCATACAAATGGAAGTTTGGATGATCAACTACTGTCACACACAATAATATGCAATTTAAGGAAGAAAAAGTAATAAAATCAGATGCCTTAATTAATTTAATTATATTGGATGGATGAAAGAACACAGTTTTCAACTTATGCAGTCACCTTAGTGGTTGTAATGGTGGTGAGTTTTAGGAACATCAGCAACCTAGCTATTTGTGGTTACAGTGTAACTGTATCATCAAACAACAGATGTTAAAATAAACTTGTGACATAACACTATACACAGGACATAAATGATTGTAACTTAAGTAACAATAATTTTCTAATTCTGAATACAAATGTGTGCTGAAGTAAAAAGTCTTATGATCTTAGTATGCATGCACCCCTCAAGTCTGAAACCCAATGGCTAAATTTCATGAATCCCAACATGAGAGTCATAATTCTTTGTAGGCCACCTACATTACCAATGCCATCATCCTTGCCATTCAAATTCAGGCAAAATAATGATGAGCCTTGTAATTTTGAATGACATCAATTTCTACTTTCTTTATTGTACAAATTTACCTCTTACTGCTTGCTATATTTAATTCTAGTTAGGCTAAATTTTACACAAAATATGCAATAAGAAAATATATTTTGATTTAAACATATGATTGGTTATAAAGAAGCAGATTGAAACATTTTATAGTTTCATATCTATACTTGCATAAATTTAAAACTGCTAGCACCCCAATCCCCTTCTATCTCTGGTGTGTACTTTCTTCAGTTCTGTTTCTCTTTAAAGCTGCCATAAGAAGCATAACAAAGAACTCTCTCTCTCTTTCTCATCATTATGAAGATAAGTGCTGAACTGAAATTGTATGCTATAAACTGACAATTATTTTCATTTGTTTCATTCTGGTCCATCATACTAACAAATTACAAAGACAAAACAACTCCATCCAGTGTGACTATTGAAGTGTTTACTACTTGAAAACTTAATACCCTTACATGTTTCGGTCCCTATAGACCATCATCAGAGGGACATCTACACTTTTTGGAAACTACTATCACAATGGATGTTTTGAGTGTTAAAATACGTATACGTGGTGCGTTCCATATATAATGCCTACTATCTTTTTGTGTTAATATGTAAAGTCTGAGCTGGATGTTGGTGGTGTTGTAGTAAAAGTTGAACCTTCCTGCCAATCTACTGTTAGTTTGGTTGTCGTGCANACTCCTCACAATGAACAGCGCCTCATCCGAACAGATCAGCAGATAATGACCAGGGACTGTCAATTCTGAATGCTACAAGACGACACTGACTAAGCTGAAAGCCCGTATTTCCCGAGTCAGGCCAGAGACAGGCAGGCAGACAACCTTTCGCTTGCAACACGATAACGCTAGACCCCATACCAGTTTGGCAACCACCACGCACATTGCAAAGTTTGGCTGGACTGTCCTACCACATCCACCTTATAGCCTCGATTTAGCACCTTCAGACTTCCATCTCTTTGGGCCTATGAAAGACGGACTACGTGGGCAACATTTTCCAGACAACGATGCTGTCATTGCAGCTGTAAGAAAGTGGCTAGCCTCTGCTGGTGCAGACTTCTATGGGCGGGGCATACAGGCTCTTGTTCATCGATGGCAAAAGTGCATAACGAATGATGGTGATAACGTGGAAAAATAGCTGTAAGTAGCTGAAATCTTGCTCTATTTAACTGCATTATTATGATTTCTGTATCTGTTGTAGTTTTCTTTAAAAAAAATAGGAGGCATTATATACGGAACACCCTTAGTACATAACAATGTTTGTAATGCACAATATATACAAAATCCAACTCTTCCACAACTAGAGCAGCTTTCTTGGTATATTAAAGTTTTTAAAACTTTGTTATTTAAGCTGAAATTTATAAACCAAGTAGGTTCATGTCCCTTCTCCTATCATTTTTCTTCATTGGGGCTGAACTTGTGCCGCCTGTCTATCTTGAGAAGCAGATTCTTGGTTTCATCCTGTGTTTGTTCATGACATGCTGTGTTGTAAAAACACCATGTATGTATTTTAACACTCAAACCTTCCATTGTGATAGTAGTTTCCAAAAAGTATAGATGTCCCTCTGATGATGGTCTATAGGGACCGAAACATGTAAGGGTATTAAGTTTTCAAGTAGTAAAAACTTCAATAGTCACACTGGGTGGAGTTGTTTTGTCTTTGTGACAATTATTTACTGACTACTCAATGCCTAAATTGCTTTGCCTAAATATTTTTAAAACATATATAGTTCTATGATTTTAGGAAAAATTGTAGCAAGTACAATATTATGTGACATTACACTCTGTAAAAGTCTTACATGTCCATGAGAAAAAGTTTCCTTGCACTAACTAGCCTACACAAAATAGTTCATAAGAGTAAAATGAAATAATATCAAATTTTATGCAGGGAGCTTTATGCTGAGAATTCTTCTTCATGAGAACAAAGATCCATACAATAACATTTTCCCATTTCATGAGTAACAAGTGGCTACTTCTTTATCTATTTTGTTAATCTTAGGTTAATGGTGAAGAATCATAATATGATGGGACTGGATGAAGATGAAGATCTAAAAACCATTCCAGAATTTTCATTTAACAAGAAAGCTCAAAAAAGTGAATCTTGAACTTTATGCATAAGGTGTAGTTTGAAGCAGACTGTACTGAAATGAGACTGCATCCACGCATTAAACACAACATGGTTATTTTCTACCATGCCATTTACACCAAGACTTGTTCTACACACAGCTCAACAGCAGTGCTGCAGATGTGTGCCATGCCCTACATACCTAATGTGCTATGTGCAGTTCTAAATTATCCATATATTTTATTCTTGTAGGCTGAGCCGATCGATTACAGGAAAATGATTAGACACACACACATATTTATTTATGCATCAACATAATATATAACTTATTATTAGACTATTTATTAACCATGTACTTCTCCCCAGAATGTCATCAACATTCTTACAAATAATGTACAATCTGATTGCTGATCTGATACGGTTTTTTGCGTGTTTGATGTAATCTTTTGTCTTGACTTTTATGCAGCCTTTCGTTTTGATAAGCATGATTTATATATATTGTTTGCCTGTATAATTGCCTGTATATGTTTTTTGCTGATAGTATTGTGAAATGACGAGTCCTGTATCAATGTATTTTGGTTTATGGGAAAATTAAATAAAGAAAGAAAGAAGGAAAGATAATTGGTCATAAGTGTGTAAATTTACAATGCATTTAATTCAGTTAATTTAGATAATTTAAATGAAATTGTATTAATTTTAAGTTTTATAATAACATTATTTTTAAATTATGTTTATTAATTAAAATTGTATTACGTTTTTTATTCTTTATTTTATTGT